GTGGGGAATGCCCTGCTCCGGCAGGCTGTGGCACAGGAGCTGCCTCGGCCTGGCAGCCTCCCCTCCCTCAGCTGGGCATGGCTGCACCTGCCTGCCCCCCCCGCAGCCCCTTGGTGCAGGCTGCAGCCAGACCTCAGCCATGGGGGTCTGGAGAAAAGACAGAGCAGGGGTTCGTCTGCAAGAGCAGGGGGGCACATGCTGCACATTTTAGTACAGTTCCCTGTGCTAGTGTGTGCAGAGATGGAGAGTTTTGGACAGGCGGGGTGTGCATGCGAGAGAAATGCAATGTCCTTTACTGCCTTAAGTGATAGTTTTCACTTTTGGCACTTTAACATCCACACTCGCTTTCATACTTCTCATGCATTTACTTTTAATTTGCACAAGATTGCAGTTCTGTTTCTTTTCCAATTTGTAGTATGCTTCTCTTGATCAGGGGGAGAGTGACTGCCTCAGCAGAAAAAGAAAACAGCTTCATCATTCTGCTCTTCCAAACAAGGTACTAAGATGAAGGTGGAAAGTATATGTCATTCAAAAGACCTGTCTCTTTTTCTCAGAATTCCTTATTCTCTGGAAACAAAGACGGGCTTACAATTAGAAATACAGTTCCAGTACTGCTTAGAAAGCACTTGTTATTTGTTACTGCTGGTAGCTACAAAACCATGGCTTTACACAGTAGCCCAGTTCCAGGATAAAACTCTTCCCTTTGTAATGTAAGGCACGTCACTGGTGATTTTTCTCACATAGTAGCTAATTCTGTTTTAAAATCCTGAGCTTCTTGTACATTAAAGAGAATACCATAAAAATAAAGCACCAAGTAGTTGTGAGGTTTTTTACCAATTAGTTTCAAGAGAACCAGGTACCATCTATCTGCTGCTCTGAAACAATTCTAATATGCATCAGAGTATGTTTCACAGCAGCCTTGCAGAAGCCCTTCCGTTGGAGCAAACCTTCCTGCAAGACTTGCGTGCATCCCTGAACATCTGGGGGGACGAGGCATGGGCATATCAGGCCCTTTAAGAGATTTGGCAACAGTCTGGTTTGCCTTAGCAGTGAGCAGCTAGCCCCTGTTCCCCGGCAAGGCCCCAAGGCTCAGCCTAGATTCAGGCTTCTCACTTTCCAAAAGACCCAGTAAGACTCTGCATCTGAGTCCTGCACGTTTCCAGTAGGATTTTGTCTCCTGGGGAGATGTTTTTGTAAGCACAATACCAGCATACAAGCCCAGACTTGTTTTTGAACTTGAAAGCAATTCAGACCCAAATCCTCAAATGCACACAATTTACACCACCCAGCACAGCAGCAATCTCAGCCTGCAGATTTTGCTATCCCAGTTGCTGACTGAGCCTTGGTAGCTGCTTTTTGTGAGGGGCTCTCAGCCATGCCTTTGCACGCCTGCATTCAGGGATCCTGTGCAGGAGCAAGGCCAAATCTACACAGGCACACAGCAGGTCACTTAGGAGAGACCACCGCAGTGCTCTGCAGAAACAAGGTGCTGGATTCATACACAGCAGCTCTTTTTGCAAGTGGGAGGCAGCAAAGCACACTTACAAATGAAATCTGCTCCCTGTCCTCGGTTGCAGGCCGTTTTCCCCAGAAGACTTCTAAAGTGCTGTTCTAGAAAGCCAGCTCCACGTGCATGGGGATGTGTGCATTGTGGCTAAATATGTTTGAAAATTTGACCTGAATATGTTACCATTTCTTCCTGGTTCGGAACGGTACTTGGTTGATATGCCTTCAATAGAATCTACTTTTAAATGCAGTCTTAAAGTGCTGCTCCCTTGTGCCAGGGCCTTGATGTTCCCATAGTCATTCTAAACATTGGCTGTGTATTAAATATAGACAGATAATAGATTCCTAATTTTATGCTCAATATTTTTGCTGTATGTTGAGGATATGCATATTTATCTGTAGAATGAAAGACAATGGATAACATTTTGAAAAACTGTAATTATATCTTTCCGTCCATAGATACACACTCTGTGTTCATTTGGATGCTTAAGCGGTGGAGGAGAAAGGTAGGCTATGTACATTTTCCCCAGTAATTTTCTATTCTTAGTCACGTAATACTACTATTTGTGACATTTACTCAAACATACTTAAATTTATCCCTCTTCTCCCTCGAAAAAGGTATACTAGACATGGGCTGTCACAGTTTCTCCATTAATAAACCTTGTCTTTAAAAGTCATGTGGATTTTTCTTTTAAACAATTTTCACCTAAGCATTCAGGATTTATTATACTCTCCATAGAGTTTGTTTCAAACATAACTAGACTTGCTTTTTATAGAAAACTGAACGTTTTATTTTGCCTGTAAGGTAAATATTTCTGCAGACAGTTCAAAGAATTCTGCTATTCCAATCCTGTTACGTGTTTATATATATATACATTTGAGTTAGCTTATCACACACCATTAGCAAGACCATCACACAGAGAAGACAGAACAATTTCAAAATAATTTTTTGGAATGAGATGTAGAGTTGTATGTGAATGCAGCTGCATGTCTGTTATTATTTTCACCTTTATTCATATTTCAAAGAAAATGAGGCATAATAAAGACTCTTTTCTCTAAAACTTACTCAGTTTACAATTTTATGCAACATATGGTGGGACTGTAACATAAACCTTGTACAGACAGAGTTCTGTATTAAAATAGCATTTGTAAGAATTATTATGTTGTTGAAATGAAAGGAAAGCAACCTGCTGATTTCATGTTATTGAAATCAATAGCAATAATGTCTCTACTTATTTCCAACTTCTGAATTGCATAAAGTATGTGGTTTTGGTATGCAGTTTGCTCTGTATGTGAAACAGTGAAGAAAAACAATGATATAGCTGAAAGAGAACAAATCAAAAGACTGTCTCCCTTTACACTGAATAGCAGAAAATTGGGGTTTGGTTTTTTTTCCTCATTCTCAGACTTTCCAGCTAGCATTTTATGCTGTAGATGTTTTTTGGCAAGGAAATTGTTCTGCTTAGATCTGACATTTCACAGAGCAATAGCAACATAATCAAGAAATTTGTTCAGTCTGAGATCTCCATTAACAAATACTTGCAAACTTGGTTCAAAATAAATGTTTTCTTATGCATAACAATGAAGAATATCTTTTGCATTTTTAAGACATCACATATGAAGATAAAATCCTCTTTTCAAAAATTATCATAGTAGTTTGGAACTGTCCATTAGGTACTGTCATAAGTAATTATATAAAAATTGATATAGTGATAGTATTATGAGCTCTTCTACATTGTAACGGATTATTCCCATTTTATGGCTATCAGTTATGGTATAATCAACATGAGGACATTTACCTGCACAGGCACAACAGCCCAAGGAGGACTAGCCAGGCTTCAGATGCTCCCCAGCGCTCTGCACCCAGCCCCCTTCTGTCTTTAACAAATACCTTGACTCCACATGTGGATTGGTAACTGGTCTTCTGGCATCACTCACTTTTGGGTTTACAGTGGCTTCTTGCACTGTCTGGTGAGCTTGCAGATTAACTTCTGATCCCTTACTGATCCCTTACTCAAGTAAGGTCTGGCCCACAGAAATCTTTCCTAAACTTCCAAGGAACATCAGTAATTACTCCCTTCCCTGTCTTGTTGCTGTGAAGCCGTTTTCACGTCCTTACATGTCCCTGGTTTATTTGTTCATTCAAATATAGTTTGGTTATCTCAGCACTGTTCTGCAGTCATATGTGCAGTCATATATGTCTCTTGTGTCCATCCACATGGATAGAAAACCAGGCTCCTTCCCCTCGTGTCTAGATTAGGATACTGCAGTATTCTTTCTGCTGAACTCCACATGTGCAATCTTTTCCCACTCTTAAAACACTCAGAAGCCTTCAGCAAGGATTGTTCTCAATTACGGTGTGCATCCCGTTGCCTTCCTCCCACTTCTCTTTTGCATTAGTTACATCCTGCTTCTCTTCCCTTTCACAAGGGGAGAAAAATCCTGTTCATATTTTATTGCCATCATACCTGTCAGCTCCTGTTCACTGTCAAGGTGTGGAGACTCACTTTCACCTGGCCCAGAATATCATTTTACTAAGTAGCATTAAACACACCTTCGTGCTCTCTTCTGTAATTATCCTCATATTTAGAATCTCCTTATAAAAACCATCAAAGCTTTTAAAACATCCTTGGACTGACCTGCATGACAAAGTCTCCCTTTCGCTGTTGAGCTAACATTACTGCATAACCATCAATGATATCTATCACAGAATTGCAAGGCTCAGCTATCTGCTGACATGTTGATGAGGTTGTCTAAGCCTGCCCAAAGCAAGCCTACATGGCAATGAATTAAGTTCTTTGAGTCACTTCTGTAGACTGTATTTTCCACCTTTCTAATCACTGTGAAATTGTACTGTAGTAAACATTTTTTTAAATTTTGAGGAAAAGTGCATCATGGAAACAGTTCAATATGGTTACATCATATCTACCTTAAGATTTGAAATAGCTAAAATGTATTTGGATTACACCATTTTTAAACCCTAGTCCCAGCTGAGGTTTTAAATTTGATATAAACAGATTCACCTTTCCAGTTCTCTTTCAGCATCAATTCCTTTACTTTAAAATGTTTTCTTCAATAATTCAAACAAGAACTCTACTGGGGTGCATCTTTTTGTCACACAAGTTTTAAATGGAGAACAAGTATATGTTGATTTTCATCTGCTGCATCAAAAAGGTGAAACTCTATGCTATGATCAGAGAAAACTGGATGGAGTTCAGATATAAGTTTAAAGTCTTAAAAATTTATAAAAGTTATATAAAAGACTTCTGGTTTATTTAACAAACACAACTAAACTAAAGCTTGAGTACTTAAAA